CGCGAAATTTGTACATACATATGGCGACGACGGGATGTAAACGATGACAAACAGTGACGGATCAACGAAACAATAATATTATGTTCATGAAAGATTATTCGCATCGTGTAGAGCAAGGAGTTAGACGTAACTCAACTCAACAAGCTTAACCTCTTAGCTGTGAATGACGTATGTATGTATGCTCGTTGCATAATGACGAGTAATTACAATTTGTTACTTAAATTGAACCTTCTGTGGGAAATAAAAACATATTTGTAAATATTAGACATTTCATCAATTCTTGCTATTAATATTAATTATTAACTGAGTCAAACAATAAAATTTTATTTATTAAAAAGAAAAAGAAAGAAATCTAATGTTATATTCTTATAATTCTTTAATTCAATTTTACAGCAACTGCGCGTACTTTGTTCTCTCTGACGAGTGTAATCGTCGCAGCGACACAAGTGTAGATACACTTTTAAAAACTGAGATACTCGTCTCGCCGATCTTCCCCGAACACCTTCCGCGAAGCGCCCGGTCAACATCGTCTATTATCCGTTCGTCGAGCGAAAGTGAGCACCATTTTCGCGGGCTAGATTATAAAAGAGTGGCGCACGTTCCATTTAGACGTCGCCGTATACTTTCCGAGCACGCAGTTCGCTGTTCCGGGGGATGGAAACGGATGGGACCAGGCCGAGATCTCTCAGTCCCGCTCCAGTATATACGTGTGTACGTATATCCGCGAGATAATAAGGAGATTCCGTGGCGGAAGGATTTATCGTGGCTTCGATAAATCTGTGGTTCGCGGCGCTGCGTGTGGCGGGCGTGTACCGTCGGCATTAAGGCCGGAAGATTGAGATGTTTAGCGGATGGTTGAACCGGTCGCCTCCGTCGCTGTTTCCACGTTGCGGATACGATTCTCGAGGATCTCGTGTACACACGGGATCTCTTCTCGCTCAGGTAAATTGACAGGCTGGCTCGGTGATCGATGCCTCGACTCTCGTTCGACGTCTACGATCGTGGGCCACGCGCTTTCGTTGCAGTTCTCGCCGAAAACCGCCCCCAGGGTCTTGTCGAAACGCTCGCGGCGTTTCGGAGACGCTCCATCGATCGAATTCAATATCGACGCAAAGCTTCCGAGTTTCGTTCGAACTTACGAAGGCAATTGAAATTCTCTCTTTCTCGAGAATCTTTTTTTTTGTTGGAAATTATCTTGCTCAATGTGACGAAAGCTACGATCACCAGCAAATCACGGGTATTTCAAAGCTGTTCAAACTTTTTAAAGCAAGATCGAATTTGACCCGATTTTGAAACGTGAAATTACTATCGAACTACTCTATCGAACTTTTTTCTTTTTTTTTTTTGGAGCTCCTTTTTCCCAAAAATTTTTACACCATACAATGTAGACGCCTCGATCGAAACGTCTTCAAAATCGTTGAAAAATTGTTTTCACAACCAGATCTGCCAGATAATCTCGAAGATTGAAGTGCTCCCTTTGCATCAACGCCTTTTTATTGAACCTAGAATAAAAGAAGTTCAAGATGTTCAAATAAAACGGCGGGAAAAGATTGTACAGGGTTTTGAGGGAAAAACTTCAATCTTCAAAATCATGGGAGATTTAGTTGTGAGAGAAATTTTTCAGAAGCGTCTGAATTTCCCAAAAACAAAGTTTTTGAAAAAAACTCACTGTCAAAGTAGAGACTTCGTGCTTTAAGATGACCATAATTGCTTTACGTTATACGACCTCTTTTTACGAAGTTGCGACAGCTCGAAGTACAGACACCAATTTATCATTTTACCGAGAGTAATATTAATAATAAACTTTCGTCCGGCTTTGCAGAGGCGCAGTTACAAAGCGGTTCGTTCAAGTCGAAACTCGATCAAGACGAGAGTCTTTGTCAGGAATTATCGGCGTCGTTTGGTTAAAAAGCCTTTCGAGAAATGTTAACGAAGCGAAGCTCGGCCATCTTATCGAGCCACGACGAAACAATGCCTCCTCGTTACGCCAGGATCGGGACGAGTGGTCGCGCGCTTCTTCTCCATCGTTCGCCGCATCTTCGAGACGCGATTAAAGCCATCTTTATTCGAAGAGCTGCTGCCAGTAGCTCGACGATATCCTCGATTCGACTCGACCCTACGTTTGCAACCGCGACATCGTCGACTGCGTTCGATTCCTGTCGTTTAATTATGGTTTTCTTCTTCCGGCTCTAAATTTCTCCTCTCATCCGCAGTTTTTTCTTTAACACGTTGACACGGTATTTCTATTAAATAAATATACCGAAACGAGCAAACTATGCAAACTATGTCGATTTAAAAGAATGTCGAATAACACAAGTAATCGGAGAAATAATTATAAAATTAAAAATACGCTCCTACAACGTGATATTTCCTTCAACTGTCCTTTCATTTTTTTAGTTTTCTCTTTCGTGGATATCGTGTCCTTTGGAAGTTTATTTAGACCAAGTTAATAGCCTGTTAGGCTTCCCTCACTTTCTGAGTAATAAAAATTATGTGTCACAGATGTGAGGCATCAGGATTTTAGAGATGCTTAGATAGGGATCTATTTTAAAAATCGTGTGGTACTAACAGCGACTTTATGTTGTCGACGAAATATTTATATTTCGAATAACGTTAACAGTTTGATCATTTGATTATTTAGACTCACACTGATGCTACAATTATGATAAATCAAATGTTCGTGAAACCTAATTACGAAAATTACATAAAACAGACATCCACGCGTCCATAATCATAAGGTCGCTGTTAGTACTTAACGCATGCGTCCGCAGTGTTAAATAATGTTGCCAGTTTTCAAAAGAACTATTTGGTTCCTTGGAGAAGTTTTATCTTTGCAATGAATAAAATGCAACGCAAACAAGGAAAAAAAAATTCGATCTTGAAATTCAAGATCAAAATCAATTTTGCGACAGGTTCGTTACGTGGTTATGACAGCCACGGACAAACTTTTCTTGCCGCCCTGTACGTTGAACATCGCGACCAAACAAACGCTGTGATTTCGTTCGACACGAAATCTGAACAGCGCGATCGCACTAAAACGGTAAATCCCGTCGTGAAACGTTTGTTGTCCGATTTCACGCGAACTCGCGATTTCTCCTTTGAAAATTCTTTTTATCACCGATTGTCTAGCTAATTGTAAGAAAACTTTCTCTGCGGCGGCAACGTTCGAAAACCTTCTCTAATTACCAGCCTTTGGCACGATCGCTCGTTTTCACGGTTGACGTTTACTCCACTCAAGAACGCGGCTCTCCGCGGAGTTTCTCCCAGAAAATCCCGAAATTTGACGGCCACTTGTCGAAAAACGGACGTCTCGCTTCTAAATTCCCAGTCAGAGAGAGAGATGTTCATAGTAACACGAGCGAAGGACGACACCTCGCCTGAAAAATTCCCTTGATCAGGAAGCGAAACGTATCGAAACTGGCTACGTGATTCCTCGTCTCTACTTTTACTCCAGGAGAATTCGTCTTTCGTGGCACAGCAGTTGGTCGAGAATCTGGAGGTATGGTCTCTCGTTTCTCTCTCACTCTCTCTCGTTTCATACTCTTCTTCCAGCGGTTTATCCTTTGGCTGTTGCTTCGCGTCATCTTCTTCCGTTTCGTTTTCAGACACCTCGCTCGAGACTGACGTCAGTATTCAGTGCTGGACCGCAAACAAGATCCAAAGGGACAACTGCGTCCCTTTCAATTTTTGATTTCACCACCACTGGTGAAGCTGACTCGAAATCCAGGCGAAACGACGGGACAACAGCAACGAAGTGAACGTTGCAAGGATATAACGAAAGAATTGCTTTACAATTTTAGAACTTTTAGAACTTTCGTTCAAACAAGACAAGGCTTCCACCTCGGAATTTATTATAGGATATGGATATGTTGCAACACTGGCTATTGTACTAACTGCAATACTAACTATAATGTTGGTCACAATCAGTGCTAAGATTGAATAAGTGATAACCCTCCAAAAAGTCATCCACGTTTCTTTCCCTCACATTTTACAATTTACCATCGACAAAATTATAAAAAAGACGAACATCATTTGACCAGCAAAGATTGCAAACGTAGAATAAACCGTTTTAAAAAAGTGTCGTTCCTTTACGCGGGATCCAACAATAATACTATTGTAATGTCGTTCTTTGATACTGTACAAAATTTTATTTTATTTAAATTATGATCACTAGATGGCGATGTTTATTAAATTTGAAAAAAAACAATATTATTTATGCGTATAAAAAAAAACAATATTATCTACCTCTAATATATTATATATCCTTTATCGATTTTGTACCTTAGGACGAGTAACATGTCACTATTCCTAGCAACGTCTGCGCCATACGAATCGTCAAAGAAATCCAACAAACGTTGGAAACTTGGATTTGAAAGGGAGCAAACTTGGCTCTCACGTGTCGCAAAGTTGCCGCGGCAAGTTTCAGCGTTTTGAGGGAGGGAGAAAATCGTGGTTGCATCGCCGGCTGCCCGGGCAGCTCGACTTTCGCAATTACGTAGTCGATATCATGCAAATCTACAGCCGGCGACGGGTCTGCCCCGTGTCGAATACGATTGACGTAGAACCGGCGTGTCGGTATCCGAAAAACTTTCGTCCTTGCACGCGCTACGCGTGCCCCCGCCTTGATTTGAATTTCACTCAGATCACCGAGGGAAGGGTGGAATTTTCGCGAACCGAGTCTGAGGAACGCGAGTTCGAGATTTCCTCTCGAAGGAAATTGTATCCGTATATACAACTGATTTTCAAATTTGGTTTCGGCTTTGCTCGCTCACACAAGTGCTTCTGGCTTTGCTCATGTGCGTTATTTGAACAACGACGACGCATGGCTTGCAGAGGGAATTTTGTCCTTGCGCACAGACCCCACTCGTCGATACGCCAGGGAACAAGCCCGAATGTCCGCACACGTATCGCACGTTGTACGCGCGTTGCGGAAGTTTTACGAGCGGCGTCAACAACCGGCGCGACGAAGTAGTTGCCGCGGGATGATTTATAGCACTCACCCTGACGGGGGCGAAGATCTGGTCGGGCTTGATGTTCTCGAGCCTGTGCTCCTGCTCGCCTTTGTGCAGCAGCTGCAGGTGCGGCTGGAAGTGCGCCGGACAAAGGGTGCCGAGTGGAAGAGGCGACGCCCATCCCGGCAAATGGGGTGGATCACGAGTGCCTAGCTCCCTGTAGAAGGACTTCAGGAATCTGCAAGCATCCAAGTTCGCTGTATTTTAACCGACCGACCGACCAACCTGCCGCCAAGTGAAACGCCACTCCGCCAATTTGCCTTATTCCGCAAGCATCCGCGACTAATGGAATTCTGGTTGGCTCCGCCATTCAACGCGAATTTTCCTCTCCGTGCCGAAGGTACGAGCCGTGGATAGGTTGAACGCGGTTATTGAATTGCACCGAGATCGAACGAGACAGTCTTCGCAGGAAAGGATGATCAGGAAGGTAGTACACGTTGATTCTTTCTTTCCCGGTAATTCGAGCTCCACTCGTGGTCGTTATCGATCTTGCGAGAAATTTAGAGAAAGGCGTTGCGGTTTAACGTCCATCGATTAAATTCGTACCGTGCCCGGCAGGGGTAAGAAGAACCCGTCACGGGGCAGACTCGTTTAATTCAACTTTAAACTCCCGGCCGACGACGAGCTGCTCTCGAAAGCCTCCCCTCTCTTCGTTCCACTCTTCTTGCTCGACTTTTTTACAACCGTCCCGCCGAAAATTCCAATTAGTCCGAGTTAGCGAGCGCGCCGCCACCGGTGGATCGCTTATCGGGTGACTGGTTAATTTCCCAGGCGACGAAACCGTAGTCACGCTAAGTAGCAACTTTCCGTTGAACGATGCACTCGTTGCACGGCCCGACGGGGGAGGGCAAAGATTGATGATCTCGCGCGATGCCCGTAACAGGCCGATCGAGCGTAGAAAGGATCGAAGAGGGTAGAAAGGAGTTTTACTGCTTCCGGACGATTTCACCGACGGAGGGAAGAAGCGAGCTACGATTTTATGGGACGCGGGTGGTCCCGCTCGATGACGATTAGCTCTTTATTTATATTATTGCTCGCGTTCTATCGCGCCGTAAGTCTCTCTGCCTCGATCAATGGCGTCTGATTTAAAAGTCGGAGCAAGATCAACGTTCTTCTAGTACGCTTCAGTTCTGAAAGAGCGATTCGCGGTTGAAAGATCGTCGAAAGAAATATAGAAACGAATATATACTAGGTTATTCGGCTCGTCGGAGAATTGAAAAGCGCATTCACTCAGAGATCCGACGATTATTTCTCTTCTCCCGCTTACGTTCATAGCGTAGAGTAAATGAAAGACACGTTCAATCTCAATGGCATTGCTTGCTCGATCTCGAAAAGACTGAGCGCCCCGTAGAATTCTGTAGCCGATGCAATAGAAACAGAAGGTTTAGGTTAGTGTCGCGTGCGTTCCGAGTTGCAACATTTTTTTTTAGTTTTAAGTATATTTAAGTATAAACCCAGGCAAACTAAATAATAAATTTATTGCTTCTATGTCACACAGACGAGGTCAAAAAGAAAGCGACGAATTATTGTATAGGGTTTGGTCACTCGTTATGGTCCGCAATCAGTTGCCAAATGGTTAACCTCTTGCGCTGGAATGACGTGCCACGCGCGTCGAGAATTTTTTGTCCCCAAAATTGCGATATTTCGTCAATTTTAAGTATATTTAAGAATAACCCACGCAAAATAAATATTAAATTTATTACTTCTCCAGTGATAATTTCTGTCCAGGGATATCATACCGACGAATTAAACAAGAAAGCGACGAATTATTGTACACGATTCGGTCGCTCGTTATGGTCCGCAATCAGTTGCCAGAACAAGTGGTTAACCTCTTGCGCTGGAATGACGTGCCATGCGCGTCGAGAATTTTTTGTCCCCAAAATTGCGATATTTCGTATTTAAGTGTAACCCAGGCAAAATAAATAATAAATTTATTACTTCTCAATAATTTTTATCCAGCGATTACTTCTCAATAATTTTTATCCAGTGATGTCACGACGAGTTCCAAAAGAAAGCGACAAATTATTGTACACGGTTCGGTCGCTCGTTATGGTCCGCGAATCGGTTGCCAGCGTAAGCGGTTAAACAGTGGCGTGTCCTTGCGAAAGGAGAGAGAAAGAAGTGAACTGACCTTAAGAGTCTTCCGAGAGGATCCCTTTCCGGGGACGGCGGTCCTCCGATCCCAGTTGCGGCGGCGAGTCTTCGCGAGGACGCACGTGCGCTCGATATGTATGCGGCTGGTGCTGGGGGTGGGCTGCACGGCGGGCAACAAACGGGGCTGCTACCCCCCGGGGTCGAGAGGGTATAACTTCTCTCCAATTCCTGAAACAAAAGAAGAGAAAAGCCGCTTTAGCGGGTCTGTTCGAACTGCTCGCCCCGTTCCTTCCCCTCTACGCTTGTCGCGTCGTTTCAATATGGCGCCGCTTCTCTCATCGTGCGTTTCTATTGTCTTCTGCCCCGAACCGGCTTCCGCTACCCCGGACGAATAAACGTCCGGTTGGAAGATTTATCTTCCTCGGCGCCGCTTTTCGGTTTCTCTATTTTTTTTTTTTTTTTTTTTTTTTTTTTTTTTTTTTTTGCCAAGTTGTTCTCGGTAAGTGGGCAAGACCGAATGCGTCTGGTTATCGTTCACCGATTAAAGAGGACGCGCGCCGTCCCGTTATTGGAAATATCAGAAAGCAGCCGAGGGTCAAGGGTGAGCGAAATTTCCCTCTCGAGAAACGGAAGACTGATGGCTCGGGAACGCCAACCAACACGTGGCTTCATTCGACGCTGACCGAACGGGCGATCGATTACCTAACAGCTGAATCATCGTCGAGGTGAAAGCGTCTCGATTAACGATCTCAAGGATCGGCCACCGTTCATAAACAGTTGCGCAGGATGTGCAAACTTTCAGAGTTCCACAAGCAATTAGCTATGTACGTTCGAACTTTTACAATTTACTAATAATTACAGTTATTATATAATTTCTATCATTTCTATCGGGTAAAATTCTTCCTCCGCAATTACGCGAGAACGTCGAAGTAAATTGCTCTCTGTGGAAAATTGAAAAGGAAATACAAAAGGAAAGGGGAAGAAACTGGAAAGGAGAGCCGCGCACCTTTATCGGTGGAAACGTATTCGTTAGACGAAGTAAATGGGCGATAATCGTCGGCGTATCTCGCGGCGTATACTGCCGCGTTCTTTATCCGGTACGGTTCTTACTGTTCTGGCAAAAAAGTCGGAGGAAAACCGTGCGGTCACGTCGGTGATCAACGCGCGAGTAAGAAAGAGCTTACGGTCAGCGATAGCGACCGCCTTTCAATCGTAACGCCGAGCTACGTGACCGGAGATAAGTCGATCAGAAAGGAGGAAAATCGAGAACGACGTTCCGCTTTTTCCTGTCGCCGCTTTTACCCGGGTGGGAGGGGAGGGAAGAAGGGGGGGGGCAATTTTCTTCTCGCGGTCGCCAAAGACACGCCCGTAACGCGCATTCCTCCCCGTCGATTTTCCCCTTTCTCACTCTCGAGTCTTTCTTTTCTTCATCGATCGTCAAATACTCTTCCAACAACGAACCACGGATACAGGTACAAACACAGACCCATCACCCAATTCATTTTTTCTCGTTTACCATACTCGAAAAAAAAAAAAAAAAAAAAAAATAAGGATAAATATTATCGTCGAATATTATACTCGAATGTTACCATTTTCTCTGAACGACCACGTGCAAGAAGCACGAGGCACGAAGCAAATAATTAAACAGCGAGGAGGTGGGTTATACATCGAGGTCTCGACCGTGCACGTTCCCCGGATCTGTTTCGACGAAAGACGACGATAAAAAAAAAAAAAAAAAAAAAAAAAAAAAAAAAAAAAAAAGAGACGAATTGGCGAACAGGGAACGTGTCCCGCCGGTTAACTGGAGCACGGCCGGGTCGACGAGGCGGATTAACTGTTTTGTCTGAGTCGGTCCGGTTCGATCGTGGACTACATTTCCCCGTCAGCTCTAAGCAAGAAGACACGGCACGCGACGCGATCGTTTCGCGTCGAACGACGCAGTCGGCGCAACTTTCGGTCCGAGCCCGTGCAATTATGGAGATAACGAACTGCATTCACGGAACGTTTCTATCAACGACGGGTGGGGGCATTTGTACAAAGACCAGTTTTAATTCAACGCGCGCGAATAACGGAAGCTTCGCCGTGAACGTTCGAAGCGTTCAGTCCCGCGTACGATTTTAACGAGTGTCGCGGGACATCTTCATCGCCGAGGACAATTAAACTCGAACGTTCCTTTCGGATCGGATTTCCCGTCGATTATCGTCGACCACGCTGGCACGCGCTCGATAATCATACCCTTTAATCACGTTACTTTTGGTTAGGTTCGGGTTAGTTAACTTGCAAGTAACGAAGCTTCGATTCCGCGGTACTTTGAAAATTTTCGTCGTGGCGAAAAATCGCTCTGCCATTTCTCTTTGCTCTCTCGAGCTTTGCTCTCTTTACTCTTATTTTATTAAATAATTTAATTTTTTCCTACCTTGTTATATAATGTTTTCTTAATAACGTATGACGTTCTTGGTAACGGTTGTCAGTTCTAACATGAAATATGAAAGTAAATGCTTTAGCTAGTTGGCTGCAGACAGAAGCTAAAGGATCCATCTTGTGAAACTGTCATTACTTTCTCTTCTATCGATGTTTGTTAAACAAGAAAAAGCGTACGTGATAGCTCTTGGTTTTTATATCAGTAATATCTCATTTGTTTACATTTCAACAATGATTTTGTTACTATTTTCACATTATATTAGGGATATCCATAAATAATGTTTTCTTTAAATTTAATAAAACATTGCCATCTAGTGACAATAATGTAATGTAATTTATCATAATATAACCGATATTCTAAAGTTAAATACAATAAATGACATTTAGTGTGCTTGTTGTTAAATTATATTACAGATTAAAACTGCATTAGCTCTTAAATAAAATGAAATTTTGTACAGTATCAAAAAAACGACATTACTTATAGGTACTCTTAATAGCTTCGTGACTTTCAAATAGCATTTGCTATAACGCCTGCGTTTTCTTTGCTTTTTAATTTTAAACACGAGAGACCTAAAATACGAATATACAGAATCATAAAAAAGTAAAAGAGCAATAGGAATAAAGAAACATTTACGATAATAGATCCGGAGATTCTTAGATTCTGACTCGGACCAAGATCATCCAATGGTATTTACACGACAACGTATACATATTATTGACAGCGAATTTAATGGCAAATCATCATCAAACGAGGAAAATACCAGAAAAATAACATGTTCGAAATGCAACGCCAAGCAAACAAACTGTTTTATGGAATTCCATACTTCAGCTTTTGTACGCACAAGTGCAAACGTACTTCGAAATCATAAAATAAGATTGTTGAACTTACTGAATACATTCTTCATCCGTATTTACAGATATTCGTTGATTTTACGTTGGTATAAATTTTTTTATAGCTACGAAAAAAATTCTGTATTAACCAAAAAGCAAAACACAGCTCGCTGGATCGACGATCTTCGATCCTTTGATTATCAGTTTGCAAGTCGATTGTTCCTTTAGCTGAGTCACCAGGTCACCGCAGAGCAACGCCGGTTAGGTGTGTGTCGGCCATTGCCTCCCCCCCCCCCCCCCCCCCCGATTGCTTCCCAGTCGACTTTTTTCCGAGTCGTCCGCTTCCTTCGTGACCCCGATATCGCGCGCCGCGGACTTTTCCTTTTCGAGACTTATCTCGAAAGTTCAGCTTCAGCCGCCGGGCTCTCCCCTGGTGAATAATCCGCCAGAACTCGGTGGCAACAACGTGAAAAATTGCGCTCCCCTTATTTACTTTACAGCATCCAACGCGCTTGATCCACCGCTCGCTCCTTCGCTTGCGAAGGAACGAGAATTCCATTAGCCTCCCGACCCCTACGGCCGCCGCCATCTTGCAAACGCGGCCCACGTATCGCGCGTCATCGAGGATTCCCCTCGTGGGACGAAAGTTCCCCACCCCCTTATCATTTCTTGTTTTCACGAGGAGAGAATCCTCTGCGAGAAAATAACTCGCGGAACGTCACCGGCAGATAACGCACGGCCTGTTCCAGGACAATGGCTGGAAAACTGGGCACGCCTGGAGTGGCGAAGCCTCCGGAGGGTAAAAGAGCGAAGAAGATGCCCGATGAAAGCCCGGCGGCATTAATTCGAGGTAATTTCTGCTGCGGACGACAAAGGGCTTCCGCGCGATTCGACCAAGACACGCGTCGTCTCGCTCTTCGCCGCGGACAAAGGGCTTCTCTCCCCCTTTCGAGGATTATTAGGGGATCTTCGTGCCCGTTAACGGCACACCTTGGTTAACGGAGGGTAAACTGCCGGGCAAATACGTCATCGCGAGACGAAACGACTCGCTGAAACTGTGCAAGAAGTGTTTTTGATCGGGGGCGACCTCGATTGTAGGCGCCGAGGGACTTCCAGCGATTTACGATTAAAGTATAGAGCACGGGGGAAATCGTCTCGTCGTAGAACGATCCGTGACCGACGTTGAAATTTTGCTTTTTCACATTTTCATCGCGTTGGGGTACTTGACACTGGAACTATCGAATTGGTCGAAATGACCAATTTATAATTTTTGTTAGACACTTCATAGACATAGCAGAAGCGTATTTTCAAAGATTTGAAAACTTCTGGAAAATATATAAATATATATGAGCATTCCTGGAGTCGGAATCGAGAGAAACAAGATCAGAAAACTTGTCACTTGCTTGTCAGGAACTGCTCCGCGCGGTGCAGCGTGTGAAACAATTTGTTATTTGAAGTAAAATTCGCCCAACTTTCGACGGGGGTCGACGTATTCAAAACAATCGTAGTGTGCCGAAACATCGGTATCACATGGAAATAATATAAATATGATTCATACGACGAATACGTATGTCGAAATGAAGAAATTGCAGCAATCTGCACGAGGTTTAAAATTTCACGATACGATCGATATAAATTGAATCGAGGAGGATCAGAAGTTTGCCTCGTTCGTATCAAGAGCGCGATGGCATCGGGGATTAAATCGTAGCCAGGGGCCCCGCCGTGGATTAATTAATTTACCAGGGAGCCCGCTGTTCCAATAAAATTTAGGCAAATTTGAGCACGCCTGTGCCAACTTTGACGTCTCCAAGACAAATAGTCACGTTGCACGGTGTTATTTCGCGTTAGTCCAGGGGTTTCCATCTAGGAAGGTGGAAATTTTCCACGGATAAAATTGCCTCGTTCGAGCGGGACAAACGGACAAGTAAAAATTACCGTGTAAAAACTGCAATTTGCCCGACAAACCAATCGATCCG